TTTTTCATGGCCGCGGACCGCGGACACGTCGGCGGGGTCGCAGCCGCGGACTTGTCCGCGGATGGCCGCTGCCGAGGGGGATTCATAGGTCGGAAGTCAGGCCGAGGCTGGACCCTCACTTCTGTGACTAGCCTTTAGTCCCAGCCTCACAGTTAAATACAGAGGCCAGGACCCAGACCCAGTCTGGTGGGCAGTAGGGGCTGGCTGAGAGACCCGGACCGTGGGCTCCGGAAGAGACAAAAGAATGGAGGCCGCTAGGGGAGTCTTATTTGGACACTGGCTGCTTGCAAGAGCTCTGTGCTAGCACACAGCGGTCAGACAGCGCCTGGAGAGGGAGAGCAGCCACGTGTAGCGAGAGGGAGAGCAGCCACTTGTTGCTGTTCAGACAGCAGCAGCCATAGCTGGCACGCGCTGGAGGTAGTAGGGTGGCTCGGGGTCAGTGGGATTGGGGAGAAGGGACAGCTGGGAGGACTCGCAGTACTTACCTGGAGGTGGCGGAGGCGCACTCTAGTGGGTCAGACTTTTCAGGATCATCTGCGAGAGGATTGTGGACTGAGAGAGTATGAGAGATTGTGGTAGGATGTGTGCAGAGAGAGTGGGAGAGTAGTAGGTGGACAATTTAAAGTGGATCTACTACATTGTTGTTGGATTATTATTGGAGATGTTGAGCACCCATGGATATTCACACCCCTCTCACATAAAAGCTCTCTGAGAGAATCTATCAATGCAAACCATGACCTGTCTCATCCCACGTGGCGTGGTCTTGCCCAAATGTGTGAAGTCAATGGACCATCGGGGATAGGTAGAGGTTTGAGTAGTCCCACAGGAGGCCGTTTGTGGACCTTGTTCCTTTGGCACAACTCACAGGTCTCCAAGTAGTGCAGGATATCGTCCTTCATCTTGGACCAACAAAAACGTTGGTTCAGGGCAGCATACGTCTTTAAGAACCCAAAGTGACCACGAGCATCATGACTCTCTGAAATCAGATGAGTAATGATCTTGCGAACACTCTTCCCCCTCGCTGCAATCTTGAAGTACAGCATAGCCTGGCTCAAAATTAGGGTCAGTATGTAGATTTCTAAGGATGGGGCCAAAAACTGGGTCCCGAGGCAACGCATCAGCGATGGCCTGCCTGGTGGAATCAGCAATGGAGTAAGTATTGGCAATGGCAACAAAAGTCTCAGGTTTTTGTGACAATGCATCAGCCACCCTGTTATAGCACCCCTTCTTGTGCTTCAGTTCAAAGTCAAAACCATCTATGAACCATACTTGCAAGCGGACGTCGTGCATGCGGTTCCCCACGTGCGGTGCATGGGCCCGACTGGTTCCATGCGGCCCACGACTGTGCGTGGAACAACCCGTAATCCCACCCCCACCCCTCCCGAAAAAAAAAGGTCGGGGGTCGAAATGGCACATTTGAGGACCCCCACCAAAATTCTTAGTAGGACCGAATTTTTTGTTTTGTGCCACGCGCTTCCCACTCTTGCTCGGGCTGGCCTGGGGCTCTGAGGTAGGTTTCCGGTTGCACCATTGCCCCGTCCTCCTCCTCCTCTCCCACCCAGGTATCAAATCCATCAACTTTGTTTTTTTTTCTTTTCTTTCTTTGGACCTTTTCTCGATTTGTGCATGTTATCCTTGCACAGGGCTCATGCTAATCTTCTCTGTATCGTTCGAATCCCTGCTCCTCCTCGTCTCCTCCTGCTGCTCGTCCTCTTCCACCGCCCCTTCCCCTGCCTGCTTCTCCTCCTCCTCCTCCCCTTCCTGGTCATCCTCGTCGTCCATGCCCTCTTCCTCCTTTCCCACCCAGTTATCGAATCTATCGAGTTTTTTTTTTTTTTTTTGGACTTTTTCTCTGAGTGGGGATTCGGGCCGCCCGGGTGACCGGCAGGGGCCCGGGGGAGGTCCCGGGCGGCCTGGCCGGGTGGGGC